CGACGCTCCTACCAGCACCATCCCACAAAGCAGAGCTGATCATGTCAAAGGCCGGGTCCTACAGAAGCAAGTAAAGGGTGAGTTTATACACCAGGCTGGCTGGTGTACTGGTATACTGGAGTACTGGTATACCCAGGAGGTACTACTATATTCTTCAGCACTTGCTGTGTTGCAATCTGAACCTAAAGACCTGTAAATGCGACACAAAGGGACCAGTTGGGAAAGCAGTCACATGGGCAGGGGTTTAACAGCCAAGTTTTAAGCCTTTTTCTGTTTTGCAGCAGATGACATGGGCAGTGTTCCAGAATGAGTTACACTCCATCTCCCTCTTAACCAAAAATAACCTCTTAGGAAGGAAAAAATAACATTTTTCGAGGTGTTCATAATCCTAGTCTGATCCATATGTGAAGTGCAGACTTTGAGTTAGCTGTGTGACAGCCACTGCTGCTGCTGGAAGTGTCACCTGATGGCACCCGTGTGCTCTCCTAGTGCCTTTGCCACCCTCGCCCCTCTGCAGCCCGTGACAACCTGTCCTTCCCCCTTTTGACGGGTAATGAGACTCAAATGGAAGCATGAGAAACTTGACCAAGTCCTTCACCTCCCCTCACTTGCAGGGCCTGCAGATGGTGCCAGCAGTCGGCAGAAGCAGCAGCCTGTCGCCCGCTTGGGGAAACAGCAGAAGACTAAGTAGAAGTGACGAGGATTTTCTGTGGCCCCAAGGGATGGCAATTTCAAGAGTGCTGGAAGTCTGGGAAGCAGATGTAGGGGGAGTGTGCCTTCAAATGCATTTTAGTTTCTGTGCTGTGATGCTGAAAAGCAGAGGGGAGAGGGATCTTGAATCTTGTAGGTGTTTTTTTCTGCATCCCTACCGCAAGTCTTTCCTCTCAACTGTGCACTCTAGCTCTTAGCTGTAGTTTAAGACATGTAGGGTGTTAACAGAATCGAGAAGAGGAAAACCTCTTTTTTCTGGCCGTGTTCACCTCTCAAAAGATGTCAACATGGAGCCCAAGCTGCCTTATTTCCTGGGGCAAAAGCGCGGATACCACCCATGAATCCAAATGCTCCCTGACTATTAAAACCAAATGTAAATGCCTGAGAAATAGTTTCCCTGTTCCTCCCTGCTGTCACTGTGTGTTGCTGTGAAGCTGGGAGGTGTAACATGCGCCTGGAATGCTGTTTGGGTGAGCAGATGTTTGGCTGTGAGAGCAGCCACAGATCGCTCCAAGCTACAGAGCATTTCAGATCTGACTGCAGCACTGTGATAGGTGAAGACCCTGATAAGACAGACCCGGGAGGTAAACTGCAGGAATGTGGTTCTCCTTTTGTCCCCAGCCAGCAGCCTCCCACATCAGGGGCTTGTAAAAAGTCTTTTCCCCGCTTTTTAAATATTCAGCAAATAAAGTGGTTCTGGTCAGGGCACTGCATGAATAGTGACTCCGTGCCCCAAAGAGGAATGGCTTCCCTCCTAGGTCTGCCGAAGTTTCTAAGATGACATTCTTGGGTAGGTTTGTGCATTTTCCAAGTGGATGAAGAACCTTTTTTTACAGCTGCAGCATTTGTGAAGAATTCTGTGTGGCCTTCCTGACTTGCTGCGTGGCACTGGCACACACCCCTTCTCTGCCTCTTGCTTTGCTGTGTGTCGGGAA